CCTACAGTGTTCCCTATAGTAACCCCCCAAAGGAAACCCATAAATCTGATTAATGACAGTAACAACAGTGGGCATCTTTTGCTAAAGTCACCACCATAGATGGGCCCTTGGTCCCCAAACCTGTGTCTCATTTTTTCCTTTTAAACTGTTATCTTCAGTTAGCTTTCACAAAGATGAAAACTTTAAACAAGTTAATTAGAAACAATGAGAAGGAGAAAAGTTATGGTCATTGCCTTCATCATGCAGAATCCTGTTCTCAGGAAGACGGGGAGATATAAATGCATGAATAACTCAAGGAGAAAGACCTTCAAAGGGGAAGATGTATGTGCCCAACTATTAACGGTGTGTGAACAGGTGTAGCATTTCCGGCCGAGTTTCTAGTTGCCTTTTTCCGAAGCAGCTGATAAGAGAAATGACCTTTAAAGATTTACTCCATTTCCAGGCCTAAGCATTCACCGGCATTTGTCCCCTTTTCCTTAGATTTCTAGTTACTTGCGGGGCTGCTTTTGATGAAGTAACCCATCAATACTGAGTGAATAAAAATCACCATTTTGGAAGAGGAGATACGGTTCCTCTATGGGTCAGAATGTCAGATGGCTTGTTTTCTCTGATATTTAAAATTGTGACTAGGAAAGTCACTACAGTAAAGGAAGCTCTACCTTGAGGGAACTCACTGACACCAAATAAAAGTGTACCTTCAAACAAATTATTTCTCCGTCGTCAAAATTCTGAGACTTAATCAGTATGAACCCTCTTATGTTTAATAAGAGCTGAACTCCGGCTGAAACTCTTCTCACACTCGGTGCATTCATACGGCTTCTCTCCCGTGTGAACTCTTTGATGTGTGATGAGGTTGGAGCTCTGGGTGAAACCTTTTCCACACTGCACACACTCATAGGGCTTCTCTCCTGTGTGGGTCCGCTGGTGTTTAATTAGATCGGACCTTTCACCAAAGCTTCGCCAGCACTCGTTACACTCGTAGGGCTTCTCTCCAGTGTGGATTTTCTGGTGTGTGATGAGATGAGAGCTCCGGCTGAAGCTTTTCCCACAAGCATTGCACTCATATGGCTTTTCCCCAGTGTGGGTTCTCTGGTGCTGAACCAAGTGTGAGATGCGGCTGAAATTCTCCCCGCACTCATTACAATGGTACGGCTTTTCTCCCGTGTGGGCTCGGCGATGGCGGACCAGGTCGGAATTCTGACTGAAATTCTTTCCACACTCATCACACTTGTAGGGTCTCTCCCCTGTGTGGACTCGGTAGTGTTTGATGAGATCAGATCTCTCGCTGAATCCTCGCCCGCATTCGTTACACTCGTAAGGCTTCTCGCCCGTGTGGGTCCTCTGGTGCTGAGCTAGGTGAGAGCTCCGGCTGAAGCTTTTCCCACACTCCTCACACTCATAAGGCTTCTCCCCACTGTGGGTCCTTTGGTGCTGGATGAGGTGAGAGAGCCGGCAGAAACTTTTCCCACACTCGTTACATTTGTGAGGCTTCTCTCCAGTGTGAATGGTCTGATGCTGAATGAGGTGAGAACTCCTTCCGAAACTCTTGCCACACTCGTTACAGTCATAGGGCCGCTCCCCGGTGTGTGTCCTCTGATGCTGAATGAGGTGTGAGCTGCGACTGAAGCCCTTTCCACATTCGTAACACTTATACGGTCTGTCTCCGGTGTGCGTTTTCTGATGCCGATTAAGGTCTGAGATCTGGCTGAAGGCCTTTCCACAGTGAGAACATATGTGGTACCGGATGCCTGTGTGGACTTCCTTGTGAACGAGCAGGTCAGTGACTTGTTGGAGCGGATAGCTTACCCACTCTTCTGCTGTTAAGTCTCCCCACTGTCTTTCTGACCTATCTCCATTTTCAAAAGCCTCTTCACTTTCAGGATTTTCCTCAGCATTTCCAACAGGTCTTTCAGACGTGGTCCCAAATTCTACCTCTTCGCTAATCTCTTGCTTTGGATTCACCTCATTCTCACTCCTGATCTCAAAATCTGCAATAAAGGGTAAATAACAACAGGACTGGTAAATACACAATCAGTTATCTACTGCGTGCCAGACACTATACTAACTCCTGAATGTGAATTACCTCAGTTATTACCGTAACTATCCAGACAGTTAGAAGATGAGACATGCTTCACGAACGAGAAAGCTAAGACCCAGACAAGTGAAGTGAGTTGTCCAAGGTCATAGTAGTAAATGGTAGAGCCAGAAGTTTGGAAAATCCAGGTCTATCTCTTAAGAAGTTTATGTCTGGGCTTGCTCTATGGTTTGGTAGATAAGGCAGCCAGATCCCACATGGCCAAACCCATGGTTTGGGTCTCAGCCCAGCTGACTGGAGAAACAAGCACTGGGTATGTGCATGTGCATGTGCATGCCCAAAATCCCAACAGGATGGGAAATGAGACAGAAGGGACTGTGGCATGACCATATTCCATGGTGGATGCTTTCTCCCTATCCCTCTGTCTCTCTCTCACAAGCACACACACACCCTGGCAAAGCAAAAACCAAGCAAACAAAAAAAACTGGGCCAGCTGGTGGTATGGTAGTTAAGGTGATGGCATCCTACGCGACGGGATTGCATCCTTCACGACAAACTGTATGGTTCAAGTCTCCAACCCGATGGCTTGAAAAACACTCAGGTACATGTGCATATGTGTCCAAAATTCTGAAAAGAGAAAAGGAGAAGGGACTGCAGTGTAACCATTCACCATGGGGGAGCGGGTTGCTTTCTCACTTTCCTTTGCTCTGTCCCCCTCTAACAAATTTTCTTTTTAAAAAGTTCACATTCTATGTCACTATAGTTAATGGTTATTTAAGAAAACTGTATAGGGGGTCAGCAGTGGTACAGTGGTTAAGGTGCTGGACTCCCATATGGTTGACTGTAGTCCGAGTCCCAGACCTGATGGCTAGAAACTCAAGCCAGGCACGTGTGCACGTGTGCTCAAAATCCCCAAGAGGAGGGACCAGCAGTTAGCGTAATGGCTATGTCACTGGACTCCCACATAGTCGACCCCAGTTCGAGTCCCGGACCCGGTGGCTTAAACTCACACCGGGCGCGTGTGAGTGCGTGCCCAAGATCCCGAGAGGAGAATAGAGGAGAAGGGATTGTATTGTGGCTATCTCCCCTGGGGGTGATTTCTCGCTTTCTGTCTCTCTGTCTCACCAGCAAGTGCGTGCTTCCAACAGCAAAAATCTGTTTAAAAAAGAAAGAAAGAAAGAGAAAGAAAATGTTAAGGGACTCTTGATTGGAATTTCTTTTTCTTATTTTTTAAAATTATTTTATTTAAGTTTATTTATTTATTATTTTAATTTGACCAGGAAGGGACAGAGTGAGAGAGAGAGAGAGCGAGAGAGAGGGAGAAAGTAAGCTGCCAAGTTCGGGACTCAAACTGCAGTTGGTCATGTAGGAGCCCAGCTCCCTTAACCACCATGCCACTTGCCAGCCCCTCAATTACAATTTCTAAAAGGCAAGAGCACAGATATTTCATGTTTATTCATATATTTTTTAACTTGTTGGGGCCAGCAAGTGGTGTAGTGGTTAAGTGCACTGGACTCCTACATGGCCAACCGTAGTTCAAGTCCTGGACCTGGTGGCTTGCTTTCTCACTTTCTCTTTCTCTGTTACTCTCTGGTCAAATTAAAATAAAAATAATGAGACCAGCGGTTGGTGTAATGGCTAAGTCGTTGGACTCCCATGTAGTCAACCATGGTTCAAGTCCCAGACCCAGTGGCTTAAACTCACGTCAGACACGTGTGCGTGCGTGCCCAAGATCCCGAGAGGAGAATGGAGGAGAAGGGATTGTGGCATGGCCATCCCCCCTGAGGGGTGACTTCTTGTTTTCTATCTCTATGTCTCTCTCTGTCTTCCTGGCAAGCGCAAGGAAGCAAAAACCTCTCCAAAAAAGGAAAAAATAAGAAGAATAATGATGATGAATAAAATGAAATAATTCTTTTAAAAATATTTTTTAAACTTGTCAAGCCTTCATCATTAGCATCATGTAAAATTACTAAGAACCTACTAGGTTAATGTGGGGAGAAAAATGAATTTTTAGCTACCAATGTCATGTCTTAGTTGACACTAAACGTGACTACCTAACATCACTTGCTACTTTCCAGTGGTTTTTAAGTGAATACAGGAGTGGAGGACCAGACAGTGGCACAGTGGTAAGATGGGATCCTCTTTGAGGCTGATTCACATGGGAAGGTTCTGGGTTCACATCCAAGACATCCCTGAGTATTCCCATGATCTGGGGCTGGCTTAGGATGGAAGTGAGTCATGGTATCCAGACTCTGTTGGGGGTACTGACTCTCTGTCTCCATCTCTCTTGCTTATGAAAGACAGAAATAAACTTAATAGAAAGTAAAAAAGAAAGAACATAGGGGTGGACAGATTAGAGAAGGCAAAAACGGTATCTCATTCAGGAGCCATCCAGGTGGCATGGTGGTTTTTGTGGTTTTTTTAATAATTATTTTATTTAACCTTATTTATTTATTTAAACTTGACCAGAGAGAGAGAGAGAAAGTGAGAAAGCAAGCATCCAGGTCCGGGACCCAAACCACAGTCAACTATGTGGGAGTCTAGCACCTTTACCCACCCCACCAACCTGCTGGTCCCAAGGTGGCATGGTGATTAAGGCAGCTGGATCCCACATGGCTGACAGTGTGGTTTAAGTCCTGGACCTGGCGGCTTGAAAAATATGCCAGATATGTGCATGTCCAAAATCCCAAGGGGGAATGGAGGAGAAGGAATTGCTCTGTGGCCAGCCCCCAACCCTGGGGAGTGGCGTATGTTTTCTTACTTTTGGTATTGATAGATATATTTCATATAAAGTCTTCAGAGTAAAATCAAAATATATAATCACCATCTACAAGGAACTTTCTACCAGACACTGCACTTTCCAAATTGGCTTTCTTTCTTTCTTTCTTTCTTTTTTTTTTCCTCTTTAGAGCCATTTTTGCTATAGTGCGTGTACACTCACTGGAGAGGCAGAAATACAGAAAGTGAGAAATCACCCCCAGAGGGATGGCCACGCTGCAATCCCTTTTCCTTCATTCTCCTCTCAGGATCTTGGGCATGCATACACATGTGCCAGGCATGAGTTTTAAGCTGCCGGGTCCGGGACTCAAACAGTGGTCAACTACGTGGGAGTCTAGCAACATAAACATTATGCCATCTGCTGGTCCCTCCAAAGTGGATTTTTTAGTTCACTTTCAGAAAGAGGTTAGTATGTGTGTTAAAATAAAAAGATCCCATGGATAAAATAGTGTGGTAAAAGGTATATTCATATCCTCTCCTTAGAAATCTGCAATGTCTGATTACACATTAAAGGTTCCAAACAGTCGTGTAATAAAGAAGCCTAGAAAACATTATTTAACCCATTCCCAAGCCTATTCGGGCAAGAAATCAGGGTGTTTTGTTTTTTTTTTTTAAATTGCCAGAGGTGTATGCACTTACCCCAGAAAGAGAGATAAGCCCCAATGGGGTACAATCACACCACAATCCTTTTCCTCCATTTTGCCATCCCATTAGAATTTTGGGCACACATGCATTCATACACCCCTGGCATGTTTTTCAAGCTGCTAGGTCTGAGACTCAAACGACAGTCAGCCACGTGGGATCCAGCTCTCTATACACAGGGCTTCCCCACTGTGCAATAGGGCTGGTCCTTTTCCTTTTTTAAAAATCATTTCTTTAATTTTATTTATTTATTCATTTATTTTAATTTGACCAGAGAAAGACACTGAGGGAGAGGGAAAGTGAGAAAGCAAGCCACCAGGTGCTGGACTCGAACCATGGTCAGTCACGTGGGAGTGTCAATTGCCTAAACCACCACGCCACCTAATGCCTTCCCCCTTTTAAAGTCAATTTATTATTTCTTCCATGAAAGAGAGGAGAGAGATGAGAGCGAGAGGCACCCCCAGTTTTAGCCAGACCACAGATCCCAGGGAAGTCCCAGGATGCAAACCTGGACTTTCTTATGTGGGTCCAGTTACACTACTATCTGGCTCTAAGACATCAGTTTTCGTTAATTGTTTACAAGTTTTGTATAGGGCATGTGTCCTTGCTGGAGACGAAGAAAGAAAATGAGAAATAATCCCCTTGGGGGATGGCCATACCACAGTCCCTTCTCCTTCATTCTCCTCCCAGGATTTTGGACACACACATACATGTGCTGGTGTGTTTTTATTAATTTTTTCCCTTTTTCTTTTTTTTTTTGGAGACGTTTTTGCTATAGGGTGCGTGTGCACGCCAGAAAGATAGAGAGAGAAAGAGAAATAGAAAGTGAGAAATCACCTTCCGGAGGGATGGCCACACCACAATCCCTTCTCCTCCATTCTCCTCTTGGGATCTTGGGCACGCACGCACACGCACCTGGCGTGAGTTTTAAGCCACCAGGACGCAAACCGCAAACTACATGGGAGTCCAATGATATAGCCATTACGCTAACTGAAGGACCCCTATTCTTTTTTTTTTTTTTTTTTAAGAATTATTTTATTTAACTTTAATTTGACCAGAGAGGGAGAGAGAGAAAGTGAGAAAGCAAGCCTCCAGGTTCAGGACTTGAACCACAGTTGGCCATGTGGGAGTCCAGCACCCTTAGCCACCACACCACCTGTTGGCCCCTCCTGGTGTGTTTTTTAAGCCACTGGAAACAAGTGGCCCAAGTGGGATCCAGCAGCCTTAATCACCACGATCACCTGGCTGGCCCAAGGAAACCAGCTTCCATTCTTCTAACAAGTGCTCCTTGGGCTAGACTACGGCAACATAAATTTACATTCTTTTTTATTTTTATTTTTATTTTTTTAGAGAGGTTTTTGCTATAGAGCGCGTGCACTCGCCAGAAAAAGAGAAAAAGAGAGACAGAAAGCAAGAAATCATCCCTCAGGGGGGATGGCCATGCCGAAATCCCTTCTCCTCAATTCTCCTCTTGGGATCTTGGGCGGGCATGCACGCACACGCGCCCAGTGTGAGTTTAAGCCACTGGGTCTGGAACTTGAACCGCGGTTGGCTACACATGAGTCCAGCGACATAGCCATTATGCCATAAATTTACACTCTTAAAAGACTCTCATTTATTGTTCTTGTTGGATTGAATGGAATATTTGGATTACAAACTGCAATAGATCTGGGTAGATAAATTATGGTGGTTGTTGTTGTTTTTTTAAATTGCCAGATGGCACAGATACTTGCCAAAGAGAGAGAGAAAGGGAGAAAGCCCCTCCCATGAGGAATGGTCAGACCGCAATCCCTTCTCCATTTCTTCCTCCTTTCTAGATTTTGGGCATGCATGCACATATGCCTGGCATGTTTGTTAAGCCACCAGACCCAGGACTGAACCATGTGGTAAGCTATGTGAGATCTAGCTGCCTTAACCATCATGCTATGGCTGGCCCTACAGTTACTTTAAGGAAGAATTCAAGAAAGTTGGGGAATCAGAGAAAGTCCACATTAAAAAAGGAAATCCCTCAGAGTTGCCTTCTGTTCTGAGAAAAGTTATGGGAAAAAAAGATTTAAAAATAATAATAAGAAAAAAAAGGATTTGTGCTAACGAGTAGCAGATGACCTAGTGAACCATGCATGCTTTTTAACTTCTGTCAAGTCTTAACAGGAGACACAATGAGTCAAAAGATGGTTCTGCTACAGAATAAACTGTTTATTGGAGTTACACCCAGACCAAAGGATAGTGAAGAGAGAAGCAGTCTGCAGACCATGCAAAAAATTAGCTGCCCTCCCTAATAAGATTTTGTGTTCACACAATTCCAGGATTCTTCTGGAGCATTTGACACACTCTAAATCTATATCGATTCTGAAACAACTCTAAACAAGAACCTACTCGAATAAAGGACTTGGGGTAAAACTAGGGCTCTGAAGCTAACGCAAACACAAAATGCTGGCTTTTGCCATCCCATGGACCTGGGTCAGAACCTTCATTCTCTAGCGCCCTAGAGTAAAAACACCATTTACAGGGGCACTTACACTCTGGCAAGCACCAGGATGTCAGACCTGTTTGTTCAGGATTTGTACAAACAGGCTGGAGAGTAGCAAATGACTCAGGGCACGAGAAAACGGAACATTTCTAAAATGTACAGAAATATAGGTATTTTTTCTTTTTAGACAATATGACCTGGATGTTTCCACATTCAAGGATTTGCCAGAGGACTCACTCAATCCAAAACCCAAATAAGTGCTTTAAAAATCAAACCACGAGGCTGTGTTGAAATAGCTAAGCCATTTTGACCGTCTCTAATATGTGAGCATGAAGAAAGATAGAACCCTTACCTAACGAGACAACATTTCCGTAATTCTCCTGCATAACGTCCCTGTAAAGGTCCCTTTGTGCAGGATCCAGAGGTCTCCATTCTTCTCGGGTGAGGTACATGGCCATGTCTTCAAACGTCACAGGTGCCTGAAATCACACAATGCTTCCTCACTACTTGGTATCTAGGGGGGTAGTACCAATTTTTCTTCTTGAAATTAAAGACATGGTTAGAAATGTGGAGGAGGCCAAAGGCATTAAGTCTGATCTGCAGAGTCCAAAGAAGAAACAAATAAGTAAAAAAGAAAGTGGTAAAGAGAGCACTTCATGAGATGTTTGCTTGGATCCCCGCCCCACCAAGGGAAACTTGTTCTCAGCTGTGCCCCTCTCAGAACACAACCAGCACACAGGTCCACACCTTCACTCACAATGCGCCCCTTCTCTGGAGGAGCTTTCTCAGAGTAGAGAGATTCCACTGTTCTTTATGGTCCTGCTGCAGCCTTCTTACCTGCTTTCAGTGCCCCCAGCCCCTCCACGTCTCCCTCGGATGCTCCAGACAGAACTGATCACTCCCACTTCCTGGTTCCCACACCACAGCGCTTTGTTTCCAAGGCACATAGAGCACTTAACACGCTGTACTACGGTTAAGTCACGGTCTTTCTCCCTACTGACTGTCAGCAGGCGGGTAGCGCCCGTCTCGTCCATCTTTCTCTCCAGTATCTAAAGGCATACAGCAGGTGTTCGATATGTGCTTTTTTTGGTGGTCGGACCAGCCTGGTACTAAGGCCCTGGAGACAGAATACAGAAGGCAAGCGAATTACTAATCCCACGGAATTTCCCACAGGGATTTGCAGAGCAGAAAGGCGCCGGGCGAGGTGGGTTAGCAGAGGCAAGGTTCAAGAAGCCACCCCCGGCTTACCTGGGACCCAGCCATGAGCAGGGTGGCTGCCATCTCTGGCACGAGGGTTCGCCTCCCAGGAGAGAGCGCAGGAAAAGCAACTAGCAGACAGCGCTGAAGGAGGCGAAAAGCAGGGCGTGAGGCACAGAAAACAGGCCCTGCCCACTCCCCAGGGCTGGAGTTCTGGCCGCAAGGCGGAGGGGAGGGCCCTGGACCGGGGCCGGGTCACTCTCCTCTCTGACCCCCAAGTGCGACCCGCCCTCTGAGTCTCCGCCACCACCTGGTGGAGGCAACGCCGGAATCGGCTAAGACAGCCCCCTGGCTGGGCCCCTCCCGGGCCGGGGGTCAGACCGATGCTGTCTAAGGGAGGAGGCTCACAGCCCAGCCCACAGAACGCCTCCGCTTTTCCATCTCGAGGCTGGTCCTTTCCGGCAGCCGCCTCAGCCCATCAACAAGAAAAGCCCCTGAAGC